CTAAAAATATCTGAATTCTGATGTTTGCTCTTCACCTTTCAGAGGTTATACATGCATTCAGCTAATACAGTAAAGCACAGTGCATTATAGTTTGGGTTTGGTTTTATTGTCTGATTGGTTTTTTTTTTAAATTAATCAGGATCTAACAGAAAATTCTATGTAAAATGGCATAATTTCTCCTTTATATAAAAGTCTGTTGTCTAATATGTCATCCACTGTAGGAATCCCCTGATCCCCTCTGAGCACGGGGGGGGGGGACTTCTACAGTCCACATCTTTATGAAACTTAAGCCAAATGACAAAATTTTTCAAAACCTCACATTGATGGCCTGAAGGAAGTGTACCAGGTTATACCTTTCACTAAAGCAATGACCATCTTCCTACTGCAATTAGATCATTGTACTAGAAATGCATGAGGCCAAGAAGAAAAGCAAGACAGAGTCTGTTTCTAGGAGGAAAAAAATCACTGAGAAGAGACCCACTATTTGAGTCCCTGGTGTTTCAAAAAGTTCTCACAGGGGCAGACTGTAATCCCTTCAAATGTGATAAGCATAATGCGAGTATCTAGGCAGATGATTTTCCCACAGGAATTGCCTGGAAATATTCATTATTTCTTTCTTCAAGACAGTTGATCTTAATAGAATCTAGTTAGGCTTTTTATCTGAATATACTTTGGTGCTTTCTCCCCATATTTTGCTTCACTGCATGTCACACACTGCAACAGGAGCTAAACAACCACTTCTTGCTTTCCTCCTGGAGACTCTACAACAGAATATGGCACAAATGACAGCAAATTCTGGATTGTCACACATCTAAGCTAAACTACCTTTTTGTTACTTTTGTTCTTCATGGGTCTGCTCCACAGTGCTTTGAGGGCAAAAGGGATGTTTTGTCTGACTAGACTGATGTATACTGACTTTCACTAATATTTTGCTATATAAACTCTTACAAAATCCTTGAGACTTGTTGAGCTCCTGAAACTACTACTGCAAATGACTGAGTTACTGGGTAATCCTGCTGACCCAATGTTACCTGAAAATACTGATGTTCTCTAAGTCTCAGAAAGATAAGTCACTTATAAAATACCTGACCAACACTACAATTTTATGTTGCTCAGTTAATGGAATAACTTGAATTTTTATGCAGTCATGAAACAAGAATCCTTTTACATACTGCTCCTCTGGTCACACTTGGTACTCAACCTGGCTCAAAGAGAAAAACTGACATGTAAAGTAAAACACATTTCTTACAATGTCCTTACCCTAAGAAGGGAAAAGTTGAAAATTGACAGGAAAGGTTATTCACAGGAAATCTGGCAATTTTTATACATTTATAGTTGATTCAAAGACATTTTTAAGTCTCTTTTTTTTTTTTTTTTTTAATGTGGGTCTCTTTAAGTCTCTTTTTTTTTTTTTTTTATGTGGGTGGTACCTTTGATCTCAGATTGTAACTATTTTATGCCAATGCATAATGGACTGACTGCTTTATATGCCTTCTGAGATGCCAAATACATGAAAAAGCATAGATGGAAACTCATGCCTGCTGTGAAATGACATCTAGAACATATTGTCATACCAACCTTTCTATACAGTATGAAAATAAAATATTTTCTTAAGCATTCTGAAATATTTTACTCATTGTTTCCTTTGTCTTGCTTAGATAGATATCACCATTTTGTAGTATGCTACTTTCTTTTAGCTGGAAGGAAGGACTAAAGGCTCCTTCTAAGGCTACTTCTGCAATCAATGCTAATAATGCTCTTTAAACAAATTGAAATAAGATCAGTCTGCTCCTCTGGAATCAAAGATCCTGGAGACATAGCACTAACATCTCCCTGTACATATAATTCTGTTTTCTTAGCTAAACTTTTACACTTGTAGAAAAAATCTTGGATGGTTTTAGAGAATTATACTTTCAGATAGAGTTACCTTTAAAGAAACACAATTTAGGTATAGCATGGTATGCACAGGTTATATAAGTAGAATGCCAAGCAATTTATCTTGTCTATTAAGAAAGAAAATGATTGCTTTTTTTTTTTTAATCAAAATGAAAAATACCGGTAAGGCTAGGTTTTGTCCCATGTGTCTGTTGCAGCAGAAGCAAAGCTGCAAACTCATCTAAACAGGAACAATCTGAAAGACACCTGAGGAGGGGGGATGCATTAATTCTCTCCTCCCGCTGTAAACCCCACTAGCATATGGAACTGATGCAGACTAAGGGCTAAATCCAAAGCCTGAGGGATTCAGAAGCTCTTCAGCTCTCTTCTCAGAATTATGTCTGTGTTCCAGCATAGAGACTTACCATCTACAGACCAAAGAAAACCTTTCCTAGTAGAATACATATATCAAATATTTGTAAATCCAGTCTCAGGAACTGGTCATTATGCAATAATTTTATATTAACATTGCATCAAAACAAAGTTGACAGATGTTTCACGGGTTCCACAGGTGCTCTACTCCTGGTGCAGAATCTAGACACCAGCAAGGGTTCTTGGAAGGGAATAGACACCTAGACGTACTTAAATGAGTCATCTGGCTGTGACAGGTGGTGAGGTACCAGATTCAAAAAAGTAAACTCACATTCTAAATCGTGAAGTTCAGGTGTCTCACTCTGTGGCTGGGACTGACCCTCACGTACACGTAGCATTTTTTCAAACAGAAGCTTCCTTCCAACAGCAGGGAGCAGATGTCAGGTGCTGGACATCCTGCCTGTTCTTAAGGAACCAGAGCCCAGAGCAGAGGTGGTCCTCTCCTAATATTGCTGCGTGGTGGAACACTACATACCAGTGAAGTGGATAAGGTTTCTGTCATACTTGTTCTACGTCTGTGTTTTCAAATTTGTACAGTAATTTGGTTTGGAAAGAACCCCTTGTTCCAACAGTGGTTCTAACACCATCTAGTCCCAGCTACAGGACCAAAACAATTGTTAGAGCAGGTACCTCAGAACAAGCTCTGAACACTTCCAGAATGCAGATAACCAAACCCCTCTGGGGAACCCATTCCAGTGCTTGAGAACAAAAGGGTGATCTTTTTATTTCTTCCATGTATCTAGTTGGAATTTCCCTTCTTGTAGCTTGTGACAGTTACCTCTTGCCTTTTGGCTGCAGGAAAGAATCCTGACTCTGTGCTCCAATCCCTTTAGTTGAAGACAATAACTAGATCTTCCCTTAGCCTTCTCTCTTTTAAACAGAGGTGTCCTCCCCTTAGACAACAGGACTTTTCATATGATTAGAAACCTCAATTAATTTCCTCTCTTCCTGAGTACCTACCTACTTCTCTGTGAGTGCTGCTGAACCTAAACAGAAATTGTACATAAACTACACATGAAAATGAGTGTGCAGTGACACATAAAGGAAGTCGAAGAGTGGAATGTATTGCATTCTTTCCTCAAGAAACAACAACTAGGATTTTCTGAGAGTCTTCATTTTTCATGTTGCAAAGATAACGCTGTTCATTTCCATTTTATCAGTAAAATTAACACCTTTTAAAACTTCATAAAATTTTGTATTTTAATAGTAAAACTTATCATTGCAAAGCCATTATTAAATGTATGTGTTGAAAAACAGCACCGTTATTTGTATGGAGTCAAACTTTCAACTTCCTATATCTGTTGAAAGATTTATTTTCAGGCTCATTTACCCTTGGACTGATAGAAGAGCTTCACAGAATTCTCTGCCTAAAACAGCTTTGGAATATAAATGTAGACTCAAGGGAGTGAAGAAAGAAGAGCAAAAACAGGACTGAACTGAACCTTCACTTGAGTAGGAGCAGACATCTGAATTAATCTCCCGCTGCTAAGCAAGAACATAAACTAAACTAATCAAGAAAGGATAAAAAGGTTGGGTTTGAAGTTGAACCTTAAATTCAGATTTACTCCAAACACTCTAAAGCCAAAGCAAAACTGATTGCTTGAAAAGAAACATAGTGTTCTATGTGCACAGTCATACATTGCAGCTGGAAACAGTTGAAATTTCCCCCAAATCAGTGTGAGAGAGAAAGGAAGAGGAGAAAAATCTATTTAGGTATAAGAAGCAGCAAACAAAGATATGCTAAGTCACCTAATAACAAGTACCCCATGCCTGATCAGTGTAATGAAGCTGGGCATTATTTTTTAGTACATCTGGTCCTGTCAGGGGTTTAATCCTAAAGCCCTTTTAAAGAATATTACATTTCTGTAATTTTGAGAAAGTTGTAATGGTTTTGGTCATGGTCAGAACTGCACACCATCTGCCTTGAGATCTGAGCATCTTTTGCTTTATTAGTTACACCGACTGAGACACAGAATATAGCCAAATGGAAGGAAGTCTGAATTCCAGACTATGTGTCAGGTTGCATCTATGCCTAGTTAAAGATGTCTACAGATGAAACTGTATACATAACTTTTGCACTGCAATTGATTTCTGTACACTACCTTTGCTGGAAGAACAAATATTTGATTTTGTTCCATGGACACAGCTACCGGCTACCTCAGTTGTTAAAAAGATGTATTAGTAACTGTTTACACAAAAACAAATTCATGTTGGATATAAATAATGGAAGTCAATGTATAAACCATTGCTTTGGTCTCCCATCAACTATGTCTACAATTTTAGGCTCCCACATTCCTGTTTTTCATAATCTTTACTAAAACTCTTCCCTTCTTGGCAAAACTGAGGTAGTATTGCTGTAAGAAAGAACACTGTATATAAAGAACTGCTCCTTGGTAACACCACTGCTGAGCAGTGCTCCACAGCATCAGTCCTGTATCTCCAACATTCCCCCCTCACCAACAGTCTGAGGGTGGAGAAAATCTTGGGAGCAGGACAGCTAGGACAGCTGACCCAAACCTGACCAAAGGTCTAATATCACTTGCTGATGGAAAGTAAAGAATAGAATATTTTTGTGGGTTTTTTAATTTCTTTGTGAATATGTAACCTATTGCTTTTACTTTATTAAACTTCTTTATCTCAACCTCCATGGATTTTATTTCTCTCTTATTTTCTTTCCCCATCCTCCTGAGAAGAGGAGTGATAGAGGGCCTTGGTAGGGGCCTGTTGTCCAGCCAAGGGCAAATCATTTCACCACAGTTACAGACACCTGAACCTTTCCAGTCCTCAGGTAAGTCCCCTTAAGGCAAATGTGTAATAGCACTTTTTGCTCCCTTGGAGAAAAAGACAGGTCTCAGAGAGATTTTTCTCATGTGTTTTCTTCTCTGGGGTCTCTTTCTCTTGTGCATTTTCTGATTGATAAGTTTGGCTTGTTGCACTTTATAGGAAAGTTTCAGGGTTAACCTGTCTGAAGTATTATTGCTAGAACTGTAGGGAATTGACTTTCCCAAAGTTACCATGATGAAAAATAGACTTGACTCTTTCTGTTTTTTCAGGCACTCATCATGAATGGAAACAAAATTTCATCTGCTAATGATAGAGGAAAATTATATGAAAGATTGCCTTTATGACACTGAAAAAGAAGGAGAGTATGAATCGAAAGAAAATTACTCCTTTTTGGAGCACGGCCCATGCTCCGTGCAAGTCCTTGTACCAGGTGGGAAGTACAGAAGCTGGATTTGCTTGGAAGTCTTGGCTTTGTCTCTACCTGGCATAAGCCAGTATTGCTGGCAAAAGGAGGGCAGAAACCCCACGAGAAACTTAGAATGAGGTAATAACTATAGTCATAACTCTGTGTCTGGCTCATCCTGTGATTCTACAGCTATGTCACACTTCTTCCTAACGGTTGTCGTCAAATAACTAAAAAGAGAGAAAGTTGCTTGGGCTTCAGAGGGATTGAGTATGATATGCAAACCAGAAAGATCCCAAAAAAGATTCAGGTGGTGATAGATCAGAAATTTTAAGGCTTCAACCTAGTATTCAAGCCTGGCTAAAAAGGAAGTCATTCCTGTAATTCTGCCTTATGCAGTACCATTGAATGCTTGTAAAAAGATTTATGTAGACCTACAGTCTACATCTCTGTCAGATTACACTTTGAATGGTGCACTCTTCAAAACAGTAACTTTGTGTGTTTTGAACTATTTTTCTGTAAGAATATTCTGTAATTAGAAGTTTCACAGAACATTCATATATCTTTTTTTTCTAAAATAGCTAGAGACTGCTGATTACATCACAGTAAACAAACGTAAGCTATAGAAACCACAGTTCTGCTCCCATCTCCTCTCAGAATCTGTGGAAACACCATCAAGCTGACTCAAACATAAGTGGTGCATGGAGTCAATAATACTCACATCAGAATATTACTTCATTTTAGAAGTTTATGTGCTAGACATTTACTTAATAATTAACTGCATAATGACCTACAAATTTTGGCAGATAAGAGAGCAAACAGCTACAATATGTAGAGCAGTGTACTTCTGAGAAAGTACCAATAATGGTGATTTATGTGGTTTAATGGAGTTAGACAAAACTTCTGAAAACTTTTTCTTTGTGATTTTGAAGCTTGAGCCCTAATTAATCAAAAATAGTAAATAAAAAAAACTGCAAGAACAGATTAATAGAAAGCCTCCATTTCATTAGGTTAAATTTTCTTTATAGTAGTATCATATATTAAAAAAAAAAAAAAAACAAACTAATGGAGAGAAACTGCTATAAAAATCCCATTCTTGGAGACCCAGCAAGATGAAATATGTTTTCAGTACTCAGTTCTAAAATGTAAACTATTAGATGAATACAATAAAAAAATGGATGAGTTTATTTAAACACTATACAATCTATCAAGAGGTCTGCCTCAATGTTAAAGCCAGTACAAGAAGATTTTAAACCCATTTCTCTTCCATCCACAGTCCAAATAAAAGCATTTTTCTTCATAAATGTGTGCATTAAAAAGAGAGAAGGTGTTTTTCCTCCTCATCTTCTTGGAAAGGAATAACAGAGCTCTTGGGTGTGAAAAGTGCAATTTTTCACTCCAAATATGAATTGTTTTCCTTAAGAAAGTTTTGAACTTTTCAAACTGCCTGTCTCGGTATCAGATGCCCACAAATGATGTTCTCAAAATACCATGATAACAAACTCATTGAAGGCCCCATCCTGCCTTAGCTGTTCCCAGTTTTGAACTTTTTGCCATTTGAATATAATTGTTTAAGAGTTTTCCATTCCTGGATGGGATTACTCCAGATATCCTTCCAACACCAGTAGAGCTGAATGGAAATCCAGTGAGATGTAAAGATATTCATTAACTATTTATCTAGTTTGCCATGATTTCTACATATGTTATGATGAGTCTTTGAAGGAAAGTTATTTAATTGCACGTGGAAAATGAAGGGCATAGAAATTTTTCATCTGACAAGAGAGTCAGGGAAATAGATTTAGTACTATATAAAAAGGAAGAATTGCAAGAAAGAGTCAGCATTGGTGCCAGCTTCTTCATTTTATGACAAGTAACTCTTGTTGGTATGTAAAATTATATACATTCCTAATCTGTTCCAGCCCCAGCATAAAAACAACCCAGGAGCAGCTAATTGAACCATTTTTTGAAAACAGTTCAATCAAACTGAACATTGTTTCCCCTCAATGTTTAAGATTTTGTTTTCTCACTTTTGCAAGAAGTGAATGGTCAAGGTTACTGGCTGAAAGAGCTTGGTTCCACCACCTGGTCCACATGAGAGGCTCCTGCAGAAAGGTGGCTCTGTACAGTTGAAAGCAGAAGCACTGGAAGGAGAACTCTGATGGTTAGCCCAGAGAACTGACTGGAGGCACCAGGCTTTCAGTTATTTTACTGACAAGAGTTGACAGTGAGGTATTATTCTCAATGTCTTTTTTAAGGGATCTGTATCATTCAATAGAACAGACTCTTAATTTCATTGAGAATTAGTACAATAACATTGTTTAACCATATTTACAGAAGAATCTCTAAAATACAAGGGAATTAAAGCAGATCCACTCTCAGGAATTATCTACAGTTTTAAAAATCACTAATACAAAAGCAAAAGTCTAAGAACACTTACAATATTTAATAAGAAGTAAAGACCTCTGTGGGTCTAAAAAACATGTCTCAAGCTTCTACATATACAAATCATCATAAACAGAATTGTTTTTAATAGTGTGCATGTGGGTCTGGTCTGCCAATTAAATATTCAGAGAATTCTTTGTTGTTTTTCTTTCTATGCAAGAGAATACACCTTTGAACTCTGAGTTCAATAAAATATCTAATTCTTTTCAGAGCATGCTATACATTTCTGAATCAGTTATGATTAGGCAGATTTTAAATAAAATTTTAAAAGCCACATAACTTCTTTTCCCTGGCTGTGAAATTAGGTTAATACTTCCAGAAACCAATAAAAAGAAAGGCAGCTGAAGTCAGTGGGTGTCTTTCTGGGTGATTACAATGGGCTTTGAATCCTGCCCCTTGTTCAAATATTCATATGCAGAAAATTAGGATTGGAGACTGACATATGTTTTCTGTGAATGTTCATTGCTGGCAAATTGGCTGCATGACTCTATATGGAAACTGAAGTCATCTAAGGGTCACAAATATATTTATTCAAAAGTTCAAATGCATATCAAAACTATTTGACCTTCTGATCAGATGCTGAAGGATAGAAAAGCTTAGTTCTACAGCAGAAAATAACTTTCTCAGCACAGACCATACTGTATGTTTGCACTATTTCCTTACATTGAGCTTTTCAACCAAAGCTTTTTTATGATTTTTTGTTAAATTTTGAATTCTTATCTCTGAGAAAGATATGTAGATAAAGATTTTGATTTACACAGGTATGATTGTAGGTCTGTTAGCAGCCTTTCAAATTGAAATTCAATATTGAAGCATCCAAAATCTGCATCACTAAGATATAAACAACACCCAAATAAGTGAGGATACTTGCAATTATTTTAAAATAAGTCTTAATTTTAATTCAACACATATGATAACATTACAGTTCGCAAATCAGTGATTATTAAGGACAACCATAGGTCAAGTGTTTATATAAGCTGCTTACAGACTGCTTACAGATATATCATACAATAGACAGTGAGTACTTCTTTCCATCAATACTAAAAGTATGTCCCCTTAAGGAATTATAAAAAACATATGGATAGGTTTCTGCCCAATTAGATTTATTAGGAATACATGTATATATCTGAGTTTGTGGAGTTTCTTAGGTTTGTACAGTACTAAAACTAGGTGGTATTCCTTATCTCAGTTGTGGAATTGCTCCAGTGACAGAGGTACAATACCCTGGTGTCCTAAAAGGATAAATTCTTGCAATCTTGCTCCAAAGAATGGGCACAGTGGCTTAGGGTGCATCTTTCCAGATGCATTCCCTCTCAGAACTTCCAGCCAGTCATTGAAAGGAAGGGTGCCATTACAAGCACACCCTCCCAAGTGGAGAATCTATTCATAAGTGGCTGCATTGTTTTTCATGAAGGGACAGGAAAATACATCTGGCCTTCAGAGAGCTGTTAAATACATTTTTTTCTAATAAATCTTTATAGAGAAAACAGCTAGCAGAGAGGATTCTTGCATGAAGTTATTGTTTTTCAAGCATAAATCAATGACTTTTTGTACAACACAAAGTTTTGGAACCATCTTGGTGGCCTGATATACTCAATTAAGAAGTAAGATCCAGGCTGCTAGTTAGTTGTTTAAGTGCAAGAGTCATTCTAACTCTGATGTAAATTTCTGTGTAACAGAGACAGCTACTGAGCAAGGCTAGTTAACAAAATAAGGCAACAAAATTCAGGATAGGTTTTGATGATGTTTGATGAAGTGACATACTGCCACAAATTAATTACAAAATAATAAATACACATATATTTAGGTTTTAAAAAATTAAAACCATGTAAGATTTTTTGAAAGAAAATATAGTTTGCACTGCTTTAGTATCAAATAATTACTAGATAAAACTGGAACTGAAAAGTCAATAACTCATCAGAGAAAAAGCAGGAATAAAAATCTTCAGGGACATCAGATAGGATAACCAAGCCACTGTAACATATACAAATTATTGATTATGTTGTGCAGATTAAAAATTTTTCTATTGTGAAGATCCACTAAAGAATTTGCAGCAAGGATATTACAAGCTGTCTTACTAACATACTTCCTCTTTGAATATTTTACTATTATAGCTTTTTATAGGAGATGTATTTTTAATTAGCCTTTACAAAATCTTTTTTTCACTAAGAATGCATCATATCACCCTATTAATTACTATACCATACCTTCCACAGCGAGTCCCTTTTCAACATTGTGACATCCCTAACAACCAGTCACAAAATGCCCCTTATTATTTGCCAGTCTGTTAAAGTTTATTTGTGAAGCCAAATGAGTATCACATGCAAACTGCCTCAACCAAGATAGAAAGAGCCAATATAAAGTACATACTCCCAATATAAATTAAACCAACTGGGAATTACTTCAGCATTCTGATTCATGGCTCTGAAGTTTCCTGGATTAGTGTAGCAAGAATAGTCAAGTATTAGGCAATGTGTTACCAAGGGAATAGCATCATGTCCCAGAAGAAACACTGAGAATCAGTGCAATCATCTTCTGGAGGAACTGGAAAGATAAATGCAAAGATTTAAAGCATAAGATCTATACAGAAAAAATGAAATACTAAAACCACAAGTGGAAAATTTTCTAATGTAACTAAAATGCCGATTAAAGATCTGAACATATAACTCTCTGCAGTATTTGCTACAATGTTCTGCTTTGTCCCAGAGCACTAAAAAAAACCTGAATTAGTTAATTGAAACATAATATTAAGTCAAAGGCTAAACTAGCAACATTTCAAAGATAATTAACCCATTTAGAATAAGAATAAAGACAAGTTTTCTCTGAAAGTTTTAACTATTCAGAAGTTTCAAGTACACTTTATTTCATGTTTTCCAGCTTCCAAAGAAAAGTTTCATAGAATTTTTTTGCACAGGACTATCAAAACACACATGTGCAGCTACACATTACTGATTTTTATTCCACCAATGTTCCACTAGCATCTTTAAAGTGAAGAAGATGATTTTGACCACCTGTCCTTTTTGAAAGTATTCTACACAGAATGAAATAAAATAAAAACCAGGCAAATCATTGGAGATAACATTTTTCCTTGCTATGTGTATTGGATTTACCTGGCAAAGTTCCAGTAGCAGAGAGTCTGCAGTGCTGAATCTTTTGAGAAGACACCTGGCTTCTTTTAAGAAGCCAGGATCCAGCTCGATGTTGGGCAGAGCCAGTTTTAGTCAGCTCCAAAATGGAAATGACACTGGCCAAAGCTGAGTCTCTCATCTATGTGGGTGGCACCTCTGGGAAAGTACTTCAGAAAGTGAAAAAATGCTGTGGAGCAGCTGCAAGAGAGAAGCAGTCCAAACTAGAGCAAGGACAAATTTGTGAGGAATTGTCTTCTGTGCAAGGGACTCATGTTGGAGCAGGAGAGGAGTGTGAGAAGGAAGGAGCAGAAGAGAAAAAGAGTCGTGGATTGATGGTAATCCTAACACCCCTTCCCCTGTGTTGCTCAGGCAGAGAAAGTAGAAGAGAGTGAAGCTGAGCCCAAGAAGAAGGGGAGCATGGTAAGGTGGTTCTAATTTAATTTCTTACTGTCCTACTCTGCTATTTATTGGCAATAAATTGAACTAATTTCTCAAGTGAAATCCATCTTGCCCACAACAGTAATTGCTGAGTGATTTCCCTTTCCTTATGGGAGCCCACAAGATTTATTCATTGCATTTTCTACCCCTGCCCTGCTGAGGAGAGAGAGTGATAGAGCAACTTGAGGGGCTCCTGGTGCCTTGTCAGTGTTAACCACCATAACACGATACAATCATAAAGATTTTTTTTACTCCTGTGATAATAGATTTGCCTACACATTTTGCCTTCCTTCAGAGAGATATGTAATTGTCACATCAGTACCATTTTCAAGCTATGCTAAATCATTGCAGCAGAAACTGATTCAGATACTGAGTAAGAAGATGAGAATCCCAGCTGCTATTTTGGGCTCTACTACTGAGTCCTCATAGCAGTCACTATTCCTCTGTACCTTCAGTTTTATATCTTCAAAAATGCTTTAATGACACTCAATTTCTAATAGTGCCCTGATGAGAAATCACGTAAAGGTGACAAATATTTATGAAGTATATGGCACCAATATTGAAAAAACTAGTAAGGTAAAGCAATTTACATATTTTAAATAATGTCACATTGGGAAGGACATTGAGATAATGGCGATTGAATAGGCAAAAATGATTGCCAGACCAAAGCTAATAAAGTTTGAGTCTTCTTAAAATGTAGTTCTTAGAGTGGACCATGACACCAGTAATCACCAAATCAAGACTGGTAAAGGGAATCACTTACTGATGTCTGTCATTGTATTCTGTCATTTATTTTTTTTGAAGAACCATATAAACACTGCAGTGCAGGTGACTTTATTTCTGATCTCTTCTCTAAGGTTTCATTTTTCAGCTGTCACTGACACCTGTATGAAGTGAAATGGCTCTCACAAGGTAAAAGGCAGCCCAAAGGTACATTCACCTTGTTAACAGCCACAATCACACATGTTGGCACAGTGTGGGTCTCTACCACCATCTCATTTCATGTAAAATTAAGATTAGTGTAAAAAACAAAAAAATCTCAAGTGGTCATTATAATCAACTTTATATACTTATTGTTAAAGCACTTCAGGAATAAAAAGTTGATAAGTTTTAGCCTGGACTGGTATTTCCCCATTTACTACCTGGTAATTTGAGGGTTTAAGCTTCTTTTAGACCTAGTGCCTGAAGGCATGATTGCCAAAACCTCTCATTTTGCTACCCAGAGACACTCATACCCTTTAAAAAGCAGTCAGCTTTTTAAATCAGCTTTTGACTGATTAAGGATAACAGCAAGTTAAAGTAGAAAAAAACTCTGCAGGCCACACTTAATTCATCTCAAGGGCCTGGTTGTAGCTGTGGCTCAAAGCATTAAATGCTTTATCATCTACTGGTGGCTCGAGGGCCACCACAGCCAAGTCTTCTGTGCCAAGACTGAGCAGGAGCTGAGATGAGCTGATGACATTTAGCTGCCCCAGGCCCTCATGGTGGGGGGGGTTGGCTTAACCCATTCATGGGTGGAGGTTTACACAAGATTACTGGGTCTGGCAAACATTTGAGTTTGAACCCAGCGCTTCATAAATATAAGATTGTACACTTATTTAGTGACAACCAGGTTCACAATTCTTCTTTGTTTTTTAACTCGGTTCACAAGATAATGTCACCTTTTGGTGTACACAGTCATGTTTTACTCTGGTAGTAAAACAAAGCCGGCAGTATATTGGAGAATGGATCTAGGATGCTTAAGTTTTTTCCCCTTTCTGGGTTACAAGAGTGTGTTGGGATTTTCTTAGTTGGGAGATATTTGCTTTTTTCTTAGTGATGATCTCCACTGAACAAACAAAATATTATCTTTGAACAACTACTCCATTATCTGTTGCATATGCAATTATCTGTCTTGATAGATAAGGGACAGAAAAAGTTAACAAAATTATCACTTAACAGGTAGGGTTGGCCAAAATATTGTGGCCTAAATGTCAGGAGAAATGCAATGGTTTTGCACACAAATACAGATTTAGAGGTTGCATATTTCGTAAATCAAACTGTACAAGATTTTTCAGAATTTTACAGAAAATTAAATAAATATGCTTTAATCAAATCATGCTGGTTTCAGAAAACTGAGCTCCTTTTTTTCTACTGTGGGGAAGAAATTCAGGACAGACTCTGTCCTGGAATAATTTGCATAGATATCATTTTCCTGTGTGTATATAAATAACTCAGTTACATACCCTTTCAGAAATATCCAGGTCTACCTTTGTTTAAGATCAGTGTAGGCAATATATAAGGAATTGTGGAAAACATTTGCCCTTCAACACAGCTAAGCCTGGGTGGATCCAAGTTCATCTGAGGTCTATGCTCTGAGCATAGAAGAGTTGGAGAGAAGTAGGATTTCTCACCGAAGTCTGAAGAAAACCATGGCTATGAAGACTGGACTGAAGCCAGTCTCCATTCCCCCTTCAAGTGAGGACTCTGTGCAGGCAAGAATAAGTGGGCAATGGAGGCAGAAAAGAAACCTGGCAGCTGATGGTTAGAGAATTTATTTAGAACAGGAGACACATAGACTCTGGCACAACTCTCAAATTTTTGTCAGCTAGTACCTTCAGTTCATGTGTGCTTTACAGTGCCAGAGAAAAACTGTTACTGACAAGCTCGTGTTTTAAAAGAAAGCAACAAGATGTAAACAATTTATTATAAAAAAATTAAATACTGAGTGAAATGAACTCTTTCTCATAAGAAATAAAAACATAAAAAATACCTCATAGAGTATTGTTTGCAAAATAATCCGTGCAATTAGATCAGAAAAATACTACCTGCATTTACTAACACCAATATTTTTGAACTGAAGAAATTACTGGAGAAACAAATAAGCAAAGAAACAAGACAGATTAATTATATAATTGATCTAATGCAACCTTCTGAGGAATAATTGATATGCTCTCATTACCATAACAACTAATTCACATGACAAAACTGATACATGACACCTTCTTAGAAGCCAGTTGAAAATCACTACTAATCATGCCATTCTGCATTATGGCAAATCGGATGAATAAAAGCCTATTTGTAAAGCATTTAATATCGTCATTTTTCATAGTTCCTTGAATGGAATACTAATGGACATCACAGTTAAGAGTGAAATGTCTCTGAAAAGAAGAAAGAAGTCCCATCATAATACAAGATTCATAACTGTGAAAAATACAGGGTCTACAGATACATCAGCATAACAGGTGATTTTTTTTCTAAACTGGAAGAGAATTCAGAATAGGCATTAAAACAAGATGCCAACAGGACTGCCATGCCATGGACAGACATTAGCCAGTTTGAAATGGGAATTTAAATAATTCTTATTTCAGTGCTTTGCATTTTCATATTTTGAGGTGATTAAAAGCACTAACTTAATTACATTACAATGACTTTAAGAGGGCCAAAATTATCATTCACTTCCCAGGAGGGAAGCTGCTTTCACAATACATTTTCTTCCTTTTCATAATCGTCCTGAGAAGTTCCTACAGCCATGGAAAAGGCAGTAGCTTTTAAGAACTGAAGAGAGGGAAAAATGCATTAGTTAGGTATTTTTAAGAAGGGCAAAGAATGACATTTTAAAAGGTTAAATTGGGTAAATTAATTGGCAGCGCCAGGTGGAGACATCAGTACAATGTAACAAGTAACAACTTTTTCATACAGTTCCAATGCATTTTGTAACACTCTACAATCAGTACTGGTAGCTGTTCTCAGGCTTAGAAGGCTCTCTTCCATCAGGTGAGGAAAAAGGACGTTATTTATTCAAATTCAATGTGTCAAAATTATATCAGATGCTTAATGTATAGGAATATCTGAAGGAACAAGGACGAGAACAGCCAACTGGTTTTTTGAACAAAAGTTATAAGAGCTTTTGGGTATTCAGAACAAAGTGTTGTGGGTTTTCATAACATGACAGAAACAATTTTAGAATCTAATTTTGACACAGCATGACTCAGTAATATGCCTCTCGGGTTTTACCCCACCATCTCCACTAAGTCCGTTTTCCCTGCTTCTTATATCATATTTTTTCAAGCGATTTCCCAGCCATCTTTTTCTGTGGATGAAATGCAACAAAGAGTAAAAGTCTTCTCCTGATATGCCAGAATATACATATGTAATAGATTTAGTTTCTAAATAACCATATTTGAGCCTGAGACTCTGAACATGCAAGTCTCTTATTTTAAAGGAAAAGTTCTTACACTCACACTGTATGTTGTTTATGCAACTAGTATTCCCGTGACTTCAATGAAATTTGTTAAGGATAAAAATGCAAAGTCTACCCCTAATGCTTAGAAGAAAGCATTTTTCCCCTTTTGAACATTTTTATTTGACAGATACAGACAAAAAACATTACTGTGTACTCATATTCATTTTCAGTATTGAGTGTTGTTCAGTTAAAAGTTCTCCAGAGAAAAGGGGGGAAAAAGTCCCTACAAATTGCAGAAGACAAAATAGCAATTAAATATGCTATCACTAGTATCATCCAGAAAAAAGTGCAACTTTGGGGAAAACCTAGAGAGCTGCAGGAAATATCTTTAGTAATCTAGCCTTTCTCTGAGAATGGATACTCACCAATCCCATGACCTGGTGTTTCTCATATTTAGAGCCTTCCTGTCATAAGGCTGATACAGCACAGAGAATTGCACTGCTGGAGTGTTACATAAGTAGAAAAGGATGGTATCCACTCATACGTAACTGTCACTGCTGACTGGTGCATAAATGAATGAAGGCTTTCTCTGATGGTGTTGGATAAGAAAAGTGTGTCATTATAAGATCTATGTGGGGATTGCAGCTGGGTGAGATGTTGATACCTACCCTCAGCAGACTTCACTGCACTGAGTCCAAGCTCTTACATTCGACTGGTAGCAAAACTCCACCACAATGCTGCAGTCAAATGGGGTCAGTAGCAGTCCAGAAAGTTGGATTTATACACACATCCAAAAAAAAAATCAAAAATTTTGTTCCCATTCTCAAACTATCAAAGGCCTAGGGGATCAAAAGTCAGCTTCACTGTCTGAAGCTTTTATATTGCCAAATTTCAATTTTCTACTCTAGCAGAAAGGTTCAGCCAAGAGAGAAAAGGAAAAAAAAAAACAGGAAAAAATTAAGATGAGCTTTTAGAACAAAGGTCTGCAAACATACTGTTGTATTCAGTGCTAAATAATTTTGATTTAATATGCTAGAGGGAGATACCACCCTGAAGTCTAATTATCCCCTCTCCTTGCACTTTGTCTGCGCTCCAAAAATCTGCAATAAAACATGTGTGGCTTTCATTTATTTGGAAGGATCAGAAGACCAGATGAGGCATAGCTACATGGAGGTAGAAATGCTATTTTATTCACCTTGCAGAAGCTGGTAGAAAGGTAGGTCTGCCAAGTCCTAGGCTGCTGAGGCCTCAGGAGAGAAACCTGGAATCCAGTTGGCTTCTTTTCCATGATCCATTTCCAAAAGGAAAAATGCCTTCCCAAACAGCTTTTGCACAGCTGAATGAGTCATGGAGAACTAATAAGAATTTTTACTTCAGTAGGAGCTGGAGGAGTTTAGTGCAGCTTCAGCAAGCAACTTTCTTTTTGCATGCTCTCTAGTAAAATGAATGTCTGATTCATAAGGCTGAGGCAGAAGCTAAGTTTAACCAACAACACGCTGGAACACCACATTTCACAGTTCCATGTATACCTAAGAGACATGATAGGCATCTACAGGCAAATGGAGTTTCAGAGAGATGAGGTTTGTAGTTATGCCAGCTTTTTCAGACACCTTCAGCATTTGTTCAAAGTGCTTTTGTCCATGACTCCGTCTTTATTGGCATATCTTGACTGATTTATATCCCTAGATCAGACAGAAAACACACTTTCTTTGTCTTTTAAGACAAGAATTAACAAAACCAAGTAGTGCCAGAATTCAGAGTCATGCGTGGGGTTTTTCTGGACTTAGGCTTTAACCTAAAAAATATGGAGTGGTAGATTTGGTTCATGCTCTGAGCTATCTGTAGATTTCCAGGCCTCCTTAAATGGAAATAACTTTTGTGAACAAATCACTCCACTTTATCATTATGTTGCAAGTGTAAGTAGAATATGAATAAACAGAAATACAGATTTCACCCTTAGGCTACAAACACAGGACCCAAGGACTGCATAACCAAACAATTTACAGTAATCTTGACTATGTTCTCTTCTTAGCAGATATCTAATAGAATGCTGTGATAGAAATTTCTTTTAACCTGCTCTATTCCTTTGAAATCAACATTGTCTTGGAATTAGCCTTAAGCTGTTTTTCAAAGGAAGCAGTCAATGGAGAACACCAACAGTGTTAAAATGAGATAAGCCAAATAAGTAGCTGGGCAAAATCAAGAATAATAAATTAAATTACCTTATGCTACATTTCAACCTCTTTGTCCTTGGCTCCCAGTCCATGGGGCCAGCTGTGAAACAGACAACTTTACAGCCTAAGAGAAAAAGAAAATATCGCTTTATTGCCAAATTTTGCTGCTTTAAATTACAATTAGATCATATTTCTCAAAAATAAGCAAAAATTCTTTGGTTTCATGAGCCCACAGTTATTTTGCAGTTATTTTGTGTAAAACAGTTATTTTATTCTAAGGAATTTGTTAGAACTTTGCCTCTCAGGAATAGCATGATGCACAGACAATTCTCTGTCATGAGGAGATTAAAAGTAGAGAGGCACCTTGGAAGAAGTTCACAAAAATCCTTTAAAAGTCTTTGAGACACACAGTAGCCATCCACACTCTGCAAGGGAGCCCAATGGTCAGAAATGTAGGTTTGCACACCATAGGTAAGAGATGAGAAACTCTGGAAGCTATCAAACAGTGAATTTTCACAGCAGACCAGCACAAACATATTTAGCACAGGGCTTTCTGTCACCATAAAGTGTCAAAAGAAATTTGAGAACATTCAGCAAACTGCTCTGTGGTTTGCTTGTGCTCCTTTCTTCCCCTTAGTTTCTCTACTGAATTAAATGCATGTCATGAAAACTATCCTTATATTACACTGGAAAGCATTATCTAAAAGTACTTGTGCAAACAAAGTTTTGCTGACCTTAGTTTTTTACTAATGCACCCTTATAGAAAAAGTCATTCAGAATAGCAACACAAAAGGAGTAATGAATAAAATTTCCATTTAGGTGGCTAATCCCCTGTGGATCAGTGTGTCAGAGTATATGGATAGAGGGGTCATTGACCTTTATCTTCAGCTGCGTTCCTCACTATAAGAAACACTACAGGAGAGTCAAAACAACAAAGCATAATTAAACAAAATGTCTCATAACCAGCTGTTTTCTGAAGAGTCAGGACTTAAACGCCATTGAAAGTTCAGCATCAACCAAAAATTACAGCCCAGTCGTACATAACATATGGGTGTGATTTATCTTCTGGATTAAGAGAAAAGCTTAAAAACACCTGTGATAATAGCTAGTAATGTTGGCTTTACAATGATTTCCCTAAAGTTTCCATCATTTTTTTCTTAGGGCTCAGTAATAGCTGTTTTGTATTCATTCCTAGCAATCACAGCCATGGGGAAGACAATAAAATATCCGAAATGCATTAAGTTTGGAACTGCTCACATATAACTTTTTCTTATTATATAAAAGCAAATAAAGGCTTAGATACCAGTCACACAAACACACATCTGCATAAATCCCAACTACAAAAAAAAAAAAAAAAAAAAAAAAAGAAATGTAGCTTTTTTCCTCCAGGCTTAGCATAAATTCATATCCTTTAAATATCAAACAACAGGGTCTGGGTTTGCACTGTTGATGTCAGTAGGAATATTGACAGGCAAATAGAAGAAAGGCTATGAAGAACATGCATATAAAAATCAAATTATTATACTCACTCGAAAACACTCTTAGAATGCTGCTAATTAAGCAAGAATGAAAAACGCTGGTTTGGAAAGTGAAAAGAAACAAATGCAATTTTAAAAATATCTGATCTTAAAATAATGTTGGGAGTATTTGACAGTGTTTTCATTTTTTTTCCTAAAGTATCATAGAGAGGTGTCTGATAAAGGCACATAGAGATAGTAGTCATCTTTTTGTCTATATTAATATGAAATATTAGAGAAAATTAAAGACTTCAGTCTTTCTTGCCTAACGCTAGATCTGGCTAGCTCTTGTTCATTTTGAAAGCTTTGTTTCTATTTTAGGGG